GAAATTTCACCCTCAGAACACAGTCACACAAAAGAAAAATGATTCGTTGTCTTCAAATTTTGTATGAAATGACCTTCCAGAGCCGCTAGCAATGAACTTTTTGTAAGCTCCAAAAATTCCTCAGAAGCTGTAGATTAAAAATTAAGTATGAGCAACACAAAATCGAAACATTTCAAGAAGACGATGGCACTTATACAGAGAAAAAAGGAAACTGAAGATAAAAGACCAGTTTGACTTTAAGAAAGCAATCATATATAGATTGTTCTTGCGGACACCATGATGATATTTACAAGACTGAGAGACTAGGACGTACATGAGGTACACAACACATTCTGTCAGAAGACCATTCAAAAAGAAAAAAAAAATGATAAAGACCAGATGAATGATCATTAAACTCACTTTTCAGTACATTCCGAAGTAAATCTACAGCTACTATACCATAATATATCTATAGTCATGGAAAAATTAAAACATAAAAGACTTGAACGCTCACAAAGTACACCACATTACATTTGAAGACCATCCAAACAGAAATTTCATGAAGAGCAGAGCTGAAAGATCATACAATCCTATGTTCCAAACAATTCGAGGTAAATCTACTGCTACCATGCCATATCTCCAAATTCATGACAACATCACGACATAAGGCTAGCCAAAACTCGATATATACACCAGAGAAGCATACAAAACCAAGCTAGATTCACAATTTACACTAACTCAAAGCAAATTGATACTCGCATTGCTTTTGAAAGTTACAATCCAAAAGTTCACCAATCGCACAATTCAACTACACTGATCACAATGTAGCTTCAAACATAAGAGAGAAGAACGAAGCCTTACACGAGATATCAATCGCCGCGACATACACAGGCCGCGCTTGTGTCATCTCCTCCTCCGATCCATCCACTAAAAAACAAAACAATTAAGCAGAAATCAGAACCAATTCCAACAAACAAAACAAAGGGATCGGTACAAAGGCGGCGCAATACACATACAAGGCAACTCAAGATCAATGAAGGAAGAAGTCATTTCAGGTATAGACTGAGGATTCGAGTAACGAGCAATAGCATCTGAAGGCAGTCCATTGAGAGTTCCGCAAAGCGAGCAATTCCAAGCCCATTGATCAAGCTCACAGTAAGTATTGAAGTAAGCGTAGCAGTTTTCGCAACGAGGAAGAAGATGACCGTTAGATCCATACGCCGGTCCGATTCCGTTCTCGTCTTTAGCCGCGAATGGTGTTACTGTCAGTCCCCAAGGGAGTCCTGACGCCTCTTGAGCGTCTACATCGATCGGAAAACGCGACACCGTTGCTCGTACGGCCATGTTTTCTCAGATCTTTCCGAATAGGTGAATTTTGTTGATTCCTGGTTTTTAAGATTTTCGGAGAATTGATGTGTGGGTCGGTGAAATTGGATGAGCACGGCGACAATTTGGCGCACGTTAGATTGTTATGCTAAATTCGGCTTCGGCGCACGTTAGCTTATATTTTGCTAAACGTTTTACTCTTTTCTTTTTTGGAAGTTTTATTTTGGAAGTCCTTTCGTACATAAACATCAAAAAGGCCAATGGTTTAAAAGGTGGACGAAGCGATTATGGTACTAAACGAACATGGACTGATACAACTACAAGTATACAACAACCAAAGGTTTAAGGTGAAGAAGCGATTATGGTACTAAACGAACATGGACTGATACAAGTATACAACAACCAATGGTTTAGGGTGAAGAAGCGATTACGGTACTAAACGAACGTGGACTGATACAAGTATACAACAACCAAAGGTTTAGGTTGTGAATGGTTACAGCGGTTGGGATGGAAAAATCTATTGGCGGGTTAGTCTATTCTAATTTTGGAACGGACAACAAACCGTAACGGATAAACTTTATTTGTATATAAAAACAGTCCGCACTTTGTCAATTATGGTTTCCTTTTGTTTTCCTTGAGACTGCACTACTACAAATACATTAGTGAATCGTCAATAAAAAACGGTTTGGTTCATAGGTCGTTTTGTCCGCTCGAACTACCTAATATTCACGAAAAATACTTGGGTTAGATTAACCAATTAAAATGAAGTAATTTGCCACGTCATACTGTATATAAAAAAAAATCAAAACTAAAATCATGAAAACAAAATCTGTATAATATAACCACTATTTTATCAACCCAAACCGAAATATAATTTCGTTTAATTACAAAATCTAAACTCTACCCACTATTTTGTCAACCCAAACCAAAATATAACTTCATTTAATTACAAAATCTAAACTCTAACCACTATTTTTTCAACCCAAACCGAAATATAATTTTGTTTAATTACAAAATATAAACGTTAACCATTATTTTGTTAACCCAAACCGAAATACAATTTTTGTTTATGTATAAAAACTAAACCCTAACCATTCTTTTATAAACTCATACCGAAATATAAAATTTCCTTAATAAAATTCCTATAGAATTTGATTCCATAATCTATTTTGTTTTACTGATTTTAGTTTTGATTATATATATATATATATATATATATATATAGTATGATGTGGCAAATTATTTCATTTTAATTGGTTAATCTAATGAACGAGGATGTTCACCCAAGTATTCCCTTAGAAACCAATTTTAACGTTTGCGTCTGCGTCTGCGTCTGCGGCTGCGTTTGCTTTGCGTTTATTGGACCCTTTATTCGATTTCTGTAAAAGAGAAAATGTTCTCTTCTTCCTTTTTTCCCTTTTTTCTTCTCTTGTCACAGTCAAATTGTGTCAGCAGCTACCTTATTCGATTTCTGAGAAGCGTTCATTATTTCTCTTCACTGAGAAAAACACACAGAGGAAGAGAGAGAGAGAGAGAGAGAGAGAAACCATGGAAATAGAAGGAAGAAGAAGAGAAGTGGTTGTGTCATCTCTCCAATTCGCTTGCTCCGACGATATCTCCACCAATGTCGCCGCCGCTGAACGGTTCGTCTCTCTCTTTCTCTCATCTTCCTAGTCCTTGAACTTTCCATATGTGTATCCAACGAATTGAACTATTCATCTGTTTTGCACAATTTGAGAATTCAGCATGGTTCAATTTCGAGCTCTGATTTTAGAAAATGCCTCTGTGAATTCGATTTTGGTACCTTAGAATCGAATTGTATACGTTTATGCAGGTTGGTCAGGGAAGCTCACGCAAAAGGAGCTAACATCGTTCTTATTCAGGTCATTCTAGCTCTTCACTTGATTAGTCTTTGGAACAAATCAAAGCTGCTTATAAAAATAGCGTTTGGATTTATCTAGTTTAGCTTGTCTTCAAGAATTTGGTTTCTTACATGTATGAACTTTTTTAATAACAGGAGCTGTTTGAGGGATATTACTTCTGTCAAGCGCAAAGAGAGGACTTCTTTCAGCGAGCCAAGCCTTACAAGAACCATCCCACCATTGCGAGGTGAGATCGGTTGTTCGATTTTTCTCTATGCCGCTTTGGTATCTAGCTCGGTAAAGTGGAGTCTCAGATGTATATATATCTGCTAGCTGGTGTTTTAATGGTTGGACAGTTTATTTTAACACAGGATGCAGAAGCTGGCAAAGGAATTGGGTGTTGTGATACCGGTTAGCTTCTTTGAGGAGGCTAATACTGCACATTACAATTCAATAGCCATAATTGATGCTGATGGAACTGACTTGGGAATTTATAGGAAATCACATATTCCTGATGGACCGGGTGAGTTATGTTTTGAGTTGGAAATGGCTTTAGTTCTTGCTACTTTTTTTTTGCTGAGACTTATTCTTATCTTCAGGTTATCAAGAGAAGTTTTATTTCAATCCTGGAGACACTGGCTTTAAGGTAATATTATCTCAAATTGAAACATAATTCTTATTTTTCATGTTATTTGGTTCACATGATTGATCTCTTCTCCCTTTGGTGTGAATAGGTTTTCCAGACAAAGTTTGCAAAAATTGGAGTGGGTAAGATGCTCTATGCAGAACTCTGTTTCTTATGTCCTTTTCTTTGTCACTTCATCTTAACTGAAGTATTAATGAAATGTCTTGTTCAGCTATCTGTTGGGATCAGTGGTTTCCTGAGGCAGCTCGAGCTATGGTTCTACAGGGTGCTGAAATATTGTTTTATCCCACTGCTATTGGTTCTGAACCTCAAGACCAGGGATTGGATTCTCGTGATCATTGGAGGAGAGTTATGCAAGGGCATGCTGGAGCTAACGTGGTAAGTGATTAGGTTTTAACACTTTATATTTTGAAGTCAATCAGTCTCAGATTGGTTTGATATGTGTATAACTTAATTACTGTAAGTGAGTTTACACTGGCATGAGTAATAAAATTACATGTCTAGTTTGTTCCACTTTTTTCTTCTGATTATAATTTGCCAAAATGTGCTTCACTCTGTTGATTAATCGCTTTTTTTTGTTACCGAATTGCTAATGAGTGAGGCAATACTTTGGGTTTCAGGTGCCTCTTGTAGCTTCAAATCGCATAGGGAAGGAAGTAATTGAAACTGAGCATGGACCCAGTCAGATCACTTTCTATGGAACTTCCTTCATTGCCGGTAACAATTTGTAACTGATTCAGATGAGATCAGCTTTAAAGTTTAGATGCAAATTTTTATCAATAAGCATTTTCTTAACAATGTTTCCCAATTTTGTTGTTATGATATGACAGGACCAACAGGTGAAATAGTGGCTGAGGCAGATGATAAATCGGAAGCCGTTCTCGTGGCACAGTTTGATCTTGAGAAGATCAAGTCAAAAAGGCAAAGCTGGGGAGTGTTCCGTGACCGTCGTCCAGAGTTATACAAGGTGCTTCTTACTATGGATGGTAATATCTAAATCTTTTGGGTGTTGGAACCTTCCATCTTTTGTTTATGATAGCACTGGGGAAATCTTTTTACAACAATTAGTGGCTTAGTCTTAAAGGGTAAGCCCAAAAATAAAAAGACCAAAATATGGTTAAATACATCTCAAAATTTGCTGTGGCTCTTTCCTCTTTCTAAGTTGTCAATTTTGCCTTGCAAAACTATTATATGAAAAAAGATTGTATATGTTTTCATGTAAACACAAATGCATATGTTGTATTTGGAACAATTAGCCTAAGTTACATGCACATTAGATAACGAAGAAAACAAAAAGAGAAGAGAATTCAATCGAAACACACAATACGTACTTCTAATGCCTTTTTCCAACTCCAAACAACTGTCTTCATGTTTCCTGTTTCTTTTGATCATTAGCATTCACTTCACTCGATGGTATGTGTTCATCAGCAAGCGGTGTTATCCTCCCGGATTCTTCGATTATCTCATCTTCCTCCTCCTTTTCATCACCAAGCGGTGTTATCATTCCGGGTTCTTCGATTATCTCATCTTCTTTTTCCTTTTCATCAGCAAGCTTTGTTATCTCCCCGGGTTCTTCGATTATCTCATCTTTGTTATCCGTTTCATCAGCATCTTCATCTTCGTCTTCTTCAAAAATATACATTTCTTCCTCTTGATTATATTCTTCCGCATCACCATCTTCATCTTCAGTTCTGTTTTCAAAAGAATCGATATGAGAAGTTGCAATTTTCCTCTCTCTGAGTGTTTTGTCCGTGAGGTTCTTCAGCAAGTTCATCACTTGCACCGCATACATTAATGCTGTTAAAGGATCTGCCATCTGCAATAAAATCGAAACAGACCGAGTTTGTGGATCAGAAGCTAGGCAGGGTAGCATTGATTCATTTTGGTATGAGCACTAAGATTTAGGTGACATTATTTGCTTAAGAGTTGAAAATCATGATGCATGTATAAGTAGTGCAAGAAGTGACCTGGGACATGTTGGGTGCGAAGACTAAAGCAAGGTTACGGGAGGTCATCTTGTTGACATCTTCAAACTCTACAAAATCAGCCATCAGATTGATTGCCCAATTCAAAAGAGAAGCCTCCGTTTGCGGCAAGAGTCTTACAACCTTCACAAAATCCTCCTCTGACTCACACTGCATCACTTGTTGAGATGGCAGTGGATCAAGTACTCCTCTCGGTAATTCTCTGAACCATGCCTTTATAAGTCCAGCGAGACAGTGGATATCGATGCCTTCTGGTAGGACTCCTTTGTTTAACTCTTCTCGAATATACTCTTCCTCACTGTTATCTCCTGTGATTCTGAAAATTCCTTCTACCTGCAAACCTCCTTGTTCGTATAGCCGGCTTTGTAATAGCGTGAGTATAGTCGGAACACAATTCCCTCTCGAGTCGTATGATAGCTGCATTGACTCTGTAGAAACCCCAAACACTGTTGCACTGCAAACCCGCAAATAGTTAAACAAATCATGAGGCAAAAACATCACTTGGAAATGGATTCACATCACATTACTGTATCTCAAAGATTCATGATCATGTCTCTTCTACTACATTAGAATACAGTTTATAGTAAATATGAAACGGATTTAGGACACAGTTTGAATCCCTTTAAGGATTTGTAATCATATATTGAACTCGGATCAATTTGGACCATGATAATGGCTGGATTAGTTCTTGTCCCTGTAATTGTTTTGAATGTCAAAACGAACATTACATTTTCTCTTGCGTTTGACATGTTATATAATCTAATAATCTTCTGCAAAATTTGGATTGCAAAGACATGAAGCAAAAATAATAATGTCATATGTTTGAACACAATTCACGGTTTACATTAGAATGAAGAAGAAGAAGAAGCTGAACCTTGCACTAGGGGGCTTCTTCGGTACGTCTGGCTCGAATTCAGAAGGAAGACCAAGAAAACCATCGAAGCGATCATATGTTACGTGAGCTACGTGACAGATATTAGTTGGGCGACCAATGTCCATGGCATGCCGTTTGTTCTCCTCCACCATTATATCTCTCGAAAAGCAACGAGATAGCTCGCAGACGACTCGACCAACTGACGCGGAGCTGCCGAACCGCGAGAGTTCGGGCTTGCCGCGCCTTCTTACTCGCGCTATCTCTCCTTCACAGCCACGTTATGATAAAAAATTGTACACACGGTTTCTTGTTCTTTCTTCTCCTATGATTGTGGTTTTTACTCGGCAATGTCAATGCGTGATAAGCAAGGGTGGTATTGGATTGGGATTGTCATGGCCAGCGATGAAACTGGCTTACACGTACACAAAATGTTCCCGAGAGATTGAAGTGTGGCGGTGAAAAGAAATGGTTAAGAGTAATGTAGAACGTGCGAAACACTACTTTGAAAGACTTCTTGATATGACTTCTTAATACAAACTACACGGTTCTAAACCATGATTGGGCAGATTTAAGTATGGACTAGGATTAAATCCTTAAACTTTAACAATAACATATAACTATATAAGTACAAATGTAGTTTGTTTCTTCACAAATGTAATTTCGAAGACATTTTAAAATCGCATGAAATTATAATACTGAACTCTTCTCTAAAAAATGAATCGTATCACATTGCCTCCATGGGTTAAGTCCTTAGCTATCCATACCAGTAAGTTTCTCGTTGTCGTGATAATAAGTTTGGATTCTGATAGTTTAACTGATCATGACTCGTTCTACGATGATTCACTTGGTCTGAACCAAGTCGTTCAATCAATTATTTGGACTTCTTTAGAGTGGAGATCCAAATTAATATGACTCAATCATCCATTTCTTAGGCTATCTGACCATTTCACAGTCCGTAGTCGATTTAGAGCGCGACTCTCTATATATAGTCCCAAACAAAATTGTACCACATTACAATTGGTGTAATAAAAACGTCTCAAAGGATGTTCAGTCCAAACCAATTAAGTATGTTCCTCGAGAGTAACTCAGTTCATTTTATATAGAATTCTTATTTTCGGGTACCCTACGACTAGTTTATACGGTCTACTCATTCATCGGTCGACATTCTTCAATCATGATCCACTTTTCTTCGAAACAAAATGTCTAGTTGTTCATACTAAAGAACACGAACCTTACGAAGATCTTTTATGTCCAAGGTGTTCATCATCACTAGACATCAAGCTTTTATGTCCAAGGTGTTCATCATCACTAGACATCAAGCTTTGTTAAACAAAAGGATGTATCAAAGGTCATTGACTTTGGGAATTACATACCATAGATAGAGTTGATTAACCCAAGTTTACTTTAAGCAAGTAACACCTAGTTGCACTTATACAAAAGAAATTGCCTAACACTTGTAAATGGCCTATATAGAAAATAGTAATCACACTATATATCATAAACCAAATTGGAGCTAAAAAAAATGCAAATTAGTCGTGGCCAAAACCATTTCAAATTTTCAATGGTCATCTTTGGCAATTTTAAAAGTTTTGAAATGGAAATTTCATAAAAAGCTTTTAGTTAGTGAGGTTTTTGAATGTGGTATTTGTAAACAAGTACAAGTGTGGCCATGTTTGGTCGTACCGAGGTTAAAGTTGGATCTGACACGCATGAACGTGTTATAATTAATGAAACAAAAATTAAGAAGAGATCAGTATTAGTTTTAGTGTTTCAATGATCTCTTTGCTGTAAACCTGAGTGGTGAGATTTACAAGAGACAAAACTGTTCTTGTGCATGTGCACTATGTTACCTCCTAGCTTTGTCCCCTTCTTCTCCTCCACAATATTCCTTCTTTGCTTTAGTTTAATCCTAACTAGTGAAGATGATCATTTTAATTAGATCATAATTCATTGTTTAAAAGTTTAAACCCATTTTATTTAATTTTTGGATCTAATCTCTAATACTATCTTTTCAAATGACCACGAGGGGCTATGAAAGGTGGTTTAATAAAATTCATTTTTCTTGGAATCTTTTGTTGAATACTAAAATTCTTTACAACATTTTTAAACTTGTAGATGTGTTAGTCAATGAGGATCAAACTTCGTGTGCATCTATAAAAATTAGTCGACACATTTCTCGACTGTAAATATTTTATAATCCATAATCAAATCTATATTAACATTTTTGAAGTATTTTTTGGAAAATGACATTTTATTTTGTATTATTTACATAATTAAATTCTTACCCTTTGAATAAATAACAAATTTTAAAGTAAATTTTGTAACTAAATCATACTAAAATTGCAAACTAGAAACTATTATTTATTATATTTAACAAAATTTCCTAAAATCTCTCCATAATAAATCAAATTTTTCTCTAATATCTTTATATAGTCTTATTTGTCAATGAATATTAAATTAAGTATATTTTATGTATTAAATTAAGTGTCGTTTAAATTTAAACGCACATATTAATAAAAGCAATTTTAAATTCTGTTTTATTTTCTTAATATAAATTTTTTATTGATTTATACATCAAATTAGTATTGATAAAACTGTAAGCATTTATCAAAAATTATTGATCTAAAAATATAGAATGAAATTTATTATAAACAAAATTAAAATTGTAAACCAACATTAAATATAAAACAAATTGAGAGGAGTGTTAACAACAAGACATCACATCACTAAGGTAAGGTAGTTGGAAAATTACCGACTCTTTGATAGGTCGATTTAGGATATTGTTTAACGTAACCAAACTGCCTTTTTGTTCTTCTTTTTTTTTTTCTTGTGGTCATTTCTTTCAGGACACATGAAGTATATAGTAAAACATTACTTATTAGTTATGAAATCCAAAACCTTTTTACTTAACTAAAAAATCTTATCGGCATTATTAGGCAGAACTACTCTAAAATATTGAAAAACAAAAAGCAAGATTTCAATGATTAGTTAATTAGTTCTCTTGTATAAAGCGGATAAAAATATCCTTTTGTAGTTAACAAAATATTTAGCGACATAATAAAATAATTATCGACGATATTGTTCATCAAAGACACAAATAAAATCATGTGATAAGTTAATGAATAACTATTGAATTATCAATCTAACAAAATATATATAAAATAAGTTTGTAAATATATTGTGTTAAACTATATTATATCGCGGTAAGTTATGATTTACGTAATAAATTTATATTTATCGTGTTAACTCATTTACTATATCACATACAAAAAATAATGAATTACATGTTAAACCATACTAGATTATTATGAAAGTCAACAATAACAATAACATATTAAGTAATATTATATATTGTTAATATTATCATGTTAATTAATCTATTATTGTGTTAAATCATTTATTATCGTATTAAATCTTATTGTTAAAGTAAAAAAAAACATATAGTTTATCGATATTAATTATGTTATACTGCTAAAAAATTTGTTAAACGTATAAGACTATTTTGGTCTAATATATAAGTTGGTGAGAAAAAACTAATTATACATATATGATTAATATATTCTTAATTTTTCATTCAATTGAGTATATAATTTTAACCCAACCTTATTAGGCACATACCCTATTGGCCCAAATACCTAAAGTAGGACAAATATCAATATGTAGATATATATATGAGGAGCCAAGTCCGCTAAAAGAAACAGAACATATCACATCATCATCATGTCTTCCTCTCGAACACAACCCTCTTCTCCTTCTTCTTCTTCAGTTTGGCAAATCCAATACATGAAGCTCCACTTCTTCACCAAGATTCGTTGCCTTTTGAAATCCAAAGCATCCTCTCGCAAACGCAACAACAACCCTCAAGCCTCACCTGAGAAATCAAGAAACCGTCAAGATTCCGACAAGGTGGCGGCTCTTCCGGAAGAAGTAGTATTAAAGCAACCAGAAGAAGATGAGAATGAGGAGGTTGTGTTGCAGAGAACTGTTAAGAAGCTTCACTTTGGAAGCTGGGAAGAGAAGGAGAAAGCTGCCATGGAGATCGAGATTCTTGCCCGAGGAGACAGGAAGACTAGGAAGCTGATGGCTGAGCTTGGTGTTCTTCAGGTTCTTGTCTCTATGGTGGCTTCTAATGTCTCCGGCCATCAAAGAGCTGCGGTCAATGCTCTTATTCAGCTTTCTCATGGAACCTACACGTAAGTTCTTTTAATTTTTCACTTTGGAATATTTAACTAATTTAATTGAATTATTTCACTGATAAAATTATAATTCATAAAAATCGATGCATGTATATATATTTTCAATTTTTGTCTAATTTAGGAGAACACAATGAAGGACATTTTGGTTTTTGTTTTAATGCGTATGGTAATTGTCAAATAATCTTCGTGTGTCTTACTTTACAAATCATTTTAGCTTTTTATCAACTTGCAATTTTAGCTTTACCCAATGGTGACTGAATTATTGGATTTACAATTATACCAAAATATACATATTGGAATTACGTCGTTGGCTAGATGTGAATTTTCTTAATATCATATGTCCTTTTGTATTATTTATCTTTGACTTTAGAATATATAAAAATATGAATATATTGACAAAATAAATTCTAATATTTAAGTTTTGGGATATCTAAAAGTCTTCATCATTTGACAAAACTATCCACTAGAGTGATGTTATACCGAAATTAAATTCTTTTGACTAAAGAGTTGATGTAATGCCTAATTTTTCTTCAATGTTCAATTTCACTTTGTCAACAAAAACTTCAATTTGCTCTATTTTTATTTGGTTATAGTTTTTTGATTTGCTCATTAAAACCAAATTAGTGGATCCTTACCGTAGCGTCTAATTAGCCTTTTATGAAGTACGCACGACGTTTCCCTCACGTGCCTCTCTCTCTCTCTTTTGGTCAACATTGAGTGTTACATAAAGGCAACACTATCATCTTAAGGCTTATACACATATAATTAGATTTTAGTATTGTGCTTTGTGCATGTGTGTGTGCCATATCACTTATAAAAGCATATACTATACATGTAACCTATCTAACTTACGGAAAATACAAAGAACATAGACATTAGAAGGAGTTTGGAAAGCTTTGGTGGCAAATCCACTAAGAAATAAGTAGATGGATTGGTCAGTATTGCAATATGTATTCATCCATATCTTAATAAATAAATAAAAACAATAAAATGTGACATTATATAGTCTAATAATGAATGTTAATTCCGAGTGCGTCGGAACTTGGAAGAGTCACGTTAGTTGACAGCCCATTAGTATAAGTATATATCCTAATTGGCCATTAATTTTTTTTCTGACCATTCATCTATTAGAAAAGTTGAAGATCATACTCCACTGACTTCTGCCTAATCTCTATATATATATGTGTTTAATTATACATATAATATAACATACGTATTGTTATGTTTGTATAATGTAACATCTATAATTAACTATAACAAAAACTAGAGAAGTTAATTAGCAAATAAAAAAGAAAGTCACATGTACTTGAGTTGAAATTGATTAAAATGTACTTGCTAAGAAAGCTTTTTATAACTTAATCAATGTTACTTGAGTTTTTCAAAACTTTATCTCTTCTTGCTTCACTAATGATTATTAGACTTCTCTTAAGGCCTAACAATATTTTTGCATAAATGAATTTTAATTGATCATAATAATTTAAAGGTTTTGAAGGTTTAAAGTTTCATTTGTGGTATTTTCGATATAATAATGGTATTTATAGGAGAAAAAACTTATTTTAATGATATTTATGAAACTTTCCATAATATAAATCGATTTAAAAGTTTGATTATTCTTTTTTATATATTATTTTGAAGAGAATATTTAAAATGAGAAATTAGAAGAGTTGTTTTATCCGTTTAATAAATGAACCGAAACACAAATCACACATTATAAAAATCTGAAGTTCCTATTTTTCTCTTACTTCAGGAACAAGGCACTGATGGTGAGTGCCGGCATATGCTCAAAGCTACCTAATGATGTCAAAGGTCTCGACCAATCAACAAGACATGGCTTCGTGGAGCTTCTGCTTTCACTTTCATCTCTAACAATCACACAATTACCAGTAGCTTCATCACGGATTCTACCGTTCTTAATGGACACAATGAACTCAGATTCAACAGAGCTAAAGACCAAAGAGATATGTCTAGCTACCATAAACAATCTTTGCCTCGTATTGGAAAACGCAGGGCCATTGGTCTTGAGCGGGGTAGTGCAGACACTCCTAAGCCTAATGTCAGTTAAAGACTTGTCCGAGAAGGCACTAGCGAGTCTAGGGCAATTGGTGGTGACTCAAATGGGTAAAAAGGCAATGGAGGATTCTTTGGATGTACCTAAAGTTTTGATAGAGATACTAACATGGGAAGATAAACCGAAATGCCAAGAATACGCGGCGTATATCTTGATGGTATTAGCACATCAGAGTTGGAGCCAGCGCGAAAAAATGGCCAAGTCAGGTATTGTGCCTGTTCTTCTTGAAGTGAGCTTACTTGGGAGTCCTTTGGTTCAAAAGAGGGCAGTGAAACTTTTGCAATGGTTCAAGGATGAGAGAAATGTACGGATGGGTCCTCATTCAGGTCCACAAACGGGTTGGGTGAGTCCAGGGATGGGATCTCCAATGAGCCCTAGGTCAGGGGAAGAAGGTAAGAAGATGATGAAGAATCTTGTGAAACAGAGTTTGTACAAGAACATGGAGATGATTACTCGACGAGGCAATGTTGATATGGAGAGTGAAGGTTGTAGGCTTAAGTCTTTAATTATCAGCACAAGCTCTAAAAGCTTGACTTATTGACCTTTATTTTGTGTTCTGATATTGCTATATAAAGTGATTAGTGAGTGTCTTGCTCTGATATTGCTACACAAAAGAATTTAAAAAGGTAGAAGAGAGAAGTGCAATTGCCAAAATATGAAAACGCTTGTAGAGTTCCATAAAATATCTTTCAGGGACATGGATTTTTGGCATTTTAAGCACAAGTATGACAAACTAAAACCAGGTGAAACCTATAATATTTTATGTGGCAATGTATCTCGAGATGTTTAGCGACCTCGCAAAAGACTTTTTTATCGCCATATTGGTAGAGAGAAAGCATGTACGTTGTGGAGAGGATGAACCAATAAACCATCTCATGTTTGAATGTCCACCATCAAATCAGATTCGGGCTTTATCCCTTCTAGTAACCTCAAATAATTTATTCCCTAAGCAATCTCTTTTCTAAAACTTATTTTGGAGAGTTCAAGAGTTAGGAATGGAAGAGGAACTATTTAATCCTTTTCTTGGATACTTTGTTTTGTTTGGAAAGCTTGTAATCGGTTTGTGTTCAAAATTGTGAACACAAACCGATTACGTTCAGAACCAAATTTAAAATTGTTAACTGTTAAGTAAGAGCACGATAGTGCCTTTGCATTAGAGTTTTAAATTGGAGTTCAAGAAAGAATACCAAAACATAATTTCTTTGTTACTCAATTAATCATAGTTCCATAAGTCTTTATAAGTTCGACTTATAATAACAAAAACATAACTCATAATTCATAATGGTAGGCAAACTAACTAGTAGATGCTAAAATCAAAAGAGCAAAAACTTCAAAATCAATATCAACACTCTTGCGAGAGTAGGGCAACTTGCCTTACGGAGTTACTTTAGTTACACCAATAAGGCAATAACAACATCTACATAACAATAAAATTGCAACTTGTAAAATCATAAGACACTATGGCCACTTGATAAAATCAGTTAATATTGCATCATGGAGTTACAAGATGGGACTTGAAAAACAAAACGATTTTAAATTTATTTTCTATGAAAATTACCCAATTTTTCACAAATTATACTAGTCGCAACTACAAAATTTTAGTGTTTGATTCATTGATATCATTATCAAGCAAGACCAAAAGTGAAAGCTTCGTTGACCCAAACAAAAGAAAAGTATAAACCAAAAAAGTTCTCTTTCATTCATTGGCTAAGAGTTTTGGTCCATCCTACGTTTGAAACCGTAAGAGAGCTTTGCTTCCAATTTCCATTCATTGGTCTAAGAAACCAAACTTTTGATTCCAATATCTCTCTGTAGTATTGCCGGCTGTTTTGGTTCTATTAGAAGACCCAACAATATGAATTATTCTTGGACACTCATACACATCTAGACATTTTAGGGAGATAAGATTTGTGAGATCAGCGTATTTAGATTATTTAAAATATTTTTTATATATAGATACCATTTTAAAAAATAAGAAAATTATGAAACATTTATAATATGACTCTTCTCCTTCATATTTTCTCTTACCATAACAAGGAGTAAACACGGATCGATATCTTTTTATTTTTACGTTAATTTTTGAATCCGCAATTTTCTTTCAAACTATTAGGATATATACATTGAATAGGATTTTTGAAAATATACCTTGTTCATTCCACAAACATTAGTAAAAATAATTATTTTCAATCTAATTAATAGTCTTATTATTAATTTTATAAATAAATATTATAGTATTTTTACTATATACCATCATTATATATACAAAAAACGAAAAAAGTATTTGTTCTTTTAAATTTTAGTCTTTTTGATTCTTTTTATTCTATCAAATTATAAATTTAAATTTTTAATTTTGTTCCATATGTTTATGTGTTATCCAAGTTTTTCACAACGGGTAAAAGTATATAATGCAAACATCCCAAAAAAAAACCACCAAAGTTTTTACTAAGTTAACGTTGACCATTTACTTTTGAGTCAGTCAAGCATATAAAAACTAAACTAATAAAATCTAACATAAATTATGTGGAAAGATCGCAATTTGTTGTCCCATGTCATTTGGTCCCCTACTTCGTTAGAACATTCAAACCACACACTCAACATCCCACCACACTCTTCACAACAATCTTATATAAGACCATATTGTCATTCACGCTTCTTGGCAAACCAAGAAAACATAACCACAACATTTGTAATAAAAAAAGATTATTGTATTGATACTACTTTTTAAAAATTTGCGCCCATACAGTCCATACATATTATCATCTATTATGGCGTCAACTATTATCATTATCTTCATACTAACTATATTTTCGAGTTACAAGACTTCGGTAGCCACATCTCGCGGTGGCCTTTTTGAAGCTTCTGCCGTGGAGAAACATGAGCAATGGATGGCTCGATTCAACCGTGTTTACGCGGATGAATCCGAAAAAAGAAATAGGTTCATTATCTTCAAGAAGAATTTGGAGTTTGTTCAGAACTTCAACATGAACAAGAACATCACCTACAAGTTGGATGTAAACGAGTTCTCTGATCTCACCGACGACGAATTCAGGGCGACACACACAGGACTAGTTGTACCTAATGGTATAACCGAGATTTCAGCATTAGGTTCGGAAAAAACGGTGCCGTTTAGATATGGTAATGTTAGTGATACTGCCGGGAGCATGGACTGGAGACAAGCAGGGGCTGTTACACCCGTTAAATATCAAGGCCGATGTGGTAACTATTTAACTTTTTTTTTAATATATTTTATTTACTTAACAACATGTATTATTTGAGTTATACGTAACTATTACATTTGAAGTTTATTATATACATTCATATGGTTTTAAAAATACATGAATATATTTTTGAAAAACAGGAGGATGCTGGGCGTTTTCTGCAGTTGCGGCCGTGGAAGGTATTAACAAGATTACTAATGGACAGCTCATATCGCTATCGGAGCAACAGCTCTTAGACTGCGATAGAGACTTTAACCAAGGATGTCGTGGAGGGATAATGTCGAAAGCATTCGAGTACATAATAAAAAACCAAGGTATCACCACTGAGGCTAACTATCCATACCAAGAATCGCAACAAACTTGCAGCGCATCAACTACACAATCATCCTCCTTCCGTGCCGCTACAATCAGCGGGTACGAGACAGTTCCGATGAATGACGAAGAAGCCTTGTTACAAGCGGTATCTCAGCAGCCTGTATCCGTGGGGATAGAAGGGACAGGGGAAGCGTTTAGGCACTACGCGGGCGGGGTATTCGATGGAGAGTGTGGGACGGCTTTGCATCATGCGGTTACTATTGTTGGTTATGGAATGAGTGAAGATGGGACTAAGTATTGGTTGGTGAAAAATTCATGGGGAGAAACTTGGGGAGAAGATGGTTTCATGAGGATTAAGAGAGACGTTGATGCACCACAAGGGAAGTGTGGTTTGGCTATGCTTGCTTTTTATCCGGTTGCTTGAATACATACATGTAGATTGCTTTGATTGATTGGTGTGTGGTGAAATAATTGCAAACACTTAGATTAGTATAAAATTTTATGAAACATTATGGTCCCTATGTTTCCATATGCAAATGGATTGGAAGTCTTTTTTTTTTAACTTATGTAAGCTCCGAAGAAAACAGAGGACTTTATTCAGCTTATTATAAATTTTTATTTTTTCGAAATTTTATTGTATAAAGTATAATAAAGATCAGGTTAGAAATGGATTAAAAAAATTTCAACTTACGTAAGCGCCGAAGAAAATAGAAGACTTTTATTCAGCTTATTATTATTTTTAAATTTTACTGAAATCTAATTATATAAAATATAATAAAAATCGCGTTTGAAAGTTGGATATAATATCGACACGTATCAATTGTATTGTATTGACAAAATTTTAAAAATATAAATATAATATATTTTCTCTTAACAATATTTGAAAATTAACAATAAAAAAAAATATTAAAAATGTACATGTGTACATATTTGTTTTTTAGATTTTGTTTAAACATAAAACAAAAGTAACAAAAACATGAAAGAAATTTCTACGAAGCTTCACGATGGTTCTGAAAATTGGTATGGAAAATAGGCATTTTTTGATATTTTCCCATTAATTATTATTTTCTAATTATTATAGAATAAATTAAGAGTCATAATTATTTTTACTAAAACTTTTGTATGTTTTTTTGGGTAGAAAAACATTTTTTCATTTTAGTAAAATATTTAACACAAATTAACATAATACTAAAATTAACAAACTAAAATATCGATTCGGGAAATTCAAATACTTTTTGGCATCAAAATTTCAACAATTTGGTTAACGAAAATGATACAACAAGATATAAAGTATATATAAATACATAAACAAAAAGATACCAAAGATATCTTAAACCGATCAACACATGTACGTAATCAAACAATTACATTATTATCAACCAACTAATTATTACATTAAACAAAAAGAATTTTTGAGAAATACCATTTTTGGTGTACCCTTTTTAAAAATACCCTTTTTATCTATCTATTTTCAAAAATACTCCATTTTAAATATAAAAAATTATAAAGTTTTATATAGTTTATAAGGTATTTCTATATAATAAGTACTACTGGAAGATTCGATACAAATATTTTAAAATGTTTTAAATAGTTTTAAAACGTTTTTATAAGGTTTTTAAAAGGGTTTATACGGTTTTTATAAGGTTTTTATAAGGTTTTATAATTTATTTTTACGCTATTTATGAAAGGTATATATAGTTTTATACACATATAAAAGTAATTTGTGTATATATTTATAAGCTTACACACATATTTGAATAAATTTCAACATTTTTAATGGGTTTTTGATAAAGTTTAAAAAAAGATATTTTTAAAAAGATATACAGTATATGAAAAGGGGTATTTTTGAAATTCCCCCTTAAACAAAAAAATTTAACTAATTAAAAGCGATAGATGAGTTTAATAAATACATAATAACTAAACATGTCGTGAAGAAGAACAACACTAAAGAATATTGAACTCGGACACCATCACTACTTGGGAATCTCCCACCTGGAACAACCGGAACTTGTCGTCCTCCACCTCCATTGTTCCCACTATTTCCGCCACCTCCTCCACTATCACCATCTTCACCGTCGCCGCCACTGCCACGGCTTCCTTTAGTACCCCCTCCACCTTTTCCACCCTTATTTCCTCCAGTACCACCACCGCCACCACGGTTTGAGCTTCCTCCTCCACTTGAGCCACGACTTCCTCCACCACTACTGCCTCCACCTGAAGAACCACCTCGAGAGCCTCCACCACCACCACCACCGCTACTACCACCTCCACCAGCTAGCTGTCTCCGCACAAAATCACTTGGAAACGACATCGTTTCTACGGTAAAGTGATGATGACGTTTTAGATCAATAGATGAGCTAGAGGCTTGATTATCAAGTGATGAACCAACAGCTTTGAATTGCGTATGAACAAGGAAATATATGAATATATGAAACATTAGAATACGTCTTTGGATCACTTCCATTTTTGTAATATTATAAATCTTACACCGGACGTTCAATAACAAGTTACACCTCTATTTATAAGATTTTGAGTAGCCGCGTATGTTACTAATCGTTTTATTACCAAGTCACGTCTCTATCCATTGTTGACTTTTTCGCAAGCGACTTTCAAAAACATGACATGAAGCTTCCTTTGCTTTGACTTTGTCTCTTGCGTCTAACTTTAACTAATTTTTATTAAAAAAAAGTTTCTCAAACTAACTTATATCAAGTTTGACCAGTAAAATTACGTGTAAATTACACATTAAACAGGAACATATACATAGATTTTGATAATGTAAAATAATTTCTCAACTCGTTTTAAATAGGATGACAATTAACGACATGAACATGATGTTTTTTATATGTATTTATCATATCTTTAGTAGTTATTAAATTTGCAAAACTCGGTTTGATTTACGTGTGGAATTCTACTAGCCTATGTCAAACATAATTTTAGACCAAAGAATATATATAATTTGATTTGAAAAGTATGATTATAAGTAACACATTCTATAATATAAATATCGTTATGGTTCTCACATATGGCATGCATATACTTTATCGTAGCTGTTTGATATTATTCAGTTTAGAAAAATTGCCTGTAAATAACATGCTAAATAGATTTAAAAAATGCAATTTGGAATCTGAAGTCTAGTGTATCAATCTTTTGGTTATTGTGGATTAACCCCGGTATATAAAGCATCAAAATCATAATTGTATAGATGTCCAAACTCGGTATTAGGGATACAAGGTCCTACATAGGAAACTAGACAAAAATCCTAACAATATATAAGATATATGAGCCTCTCCATTATTTGTCAATTGGTTTTATGTTGGAAACCCACAATCTAATATGGTATGAGAGACCAATCCATGTATGTCCAGCCCGATCCATTATCGGTTTTATCCAAAAATTTGGTCCACCGATCCTTGCCCCGAAACTATCAGGATTCTATCAGGATTTACGACGAAAAGAGCCATGCTTTCGAGGGGGCGTATTAGAGATACAATATCCCATATCGAAACATATATGGGTCTCTCTATTCATTTTCAATTGATTTTAAGTTGGAAGCCCACAATCTAATATTCGGAAGAGTATTAAAAAATGAAAAATGAAGAGGAAGGATATGGACAGATGGATCGTGGATCAACTTTGCTTGTGGGTTAGTAGATTAAAAGAAGAGTGACCGACCACCAGAGACGTGAAGGTAAAAAAAAAAGAAAAAACTCAATGTGGATCACTTGCAAATGTGCTTGTGGCCTGTGGGTTAGTAGATTAAGTAAAACCTGACTATATCAAGTCATGGTCAAATACCAAACCAGTTTATGATTTATTGAGTTTAGATAACACACCTTTTGATTCTTAATTATGCTTGTTGTCTTAATTTATCTATATTTATATACTGCCTTTGAGCCAGGGCTAAAAAGGGCTGAGAGAAAAACAAAGCTAATGGAGAGATTAATTTGGAAAAGGAGGACCAGTGTATGCAAAAAATAGTATCAACATCAACATGACAACATCAAGTCAACCCCACCCCAGCCTAAATCTTTAAAAGTAATAAAATATTGGTTGATAATATATATATATATATATATATATATATATATATATATATATATTTTTTTTTTGTTAAAGGGTTTTCAAATTAAATGCATAAAAAAATTACAAAGAGATGACTTTGAGGTTATATAGTTTTTGGAAGTACTTAAAAGAGAAGAACATACACTTAAGTAAATGTTATATTAGGTAAAGAGAGCACAAAGGATAAAGCCGATTAACCGCGACCACCACGGCCACCACGACCAGTTTGCCACGTCCTCCAACAAAGGATAAGGTTGATTATATTCTAGATTGGTTGATTATATTGCGGATAAGTTTCTTTGATGAGTACTTGCATCCTCTTCAAAATTGTTTCGAACAAAAGCTCATGTCAGTGGTATTTTTGAGAATCATCATATAAGATATAAGTGCATGAGTCGTTGTATATAGGACACTAATTAAAAGGGATATATCTTTGTTGGCATTATACTTATTATTTAAGAATATTTTGATTGTTTAAATAAGATGGCATGGTCCTTAACTTATAAATGGCACATAAGATAAGGTACATGGACTTTCTCTAATGTGACCATGGTACATGGATTATAGGTGGATTTGCTATACTAAACCACCTGATTTTAAAGAAAATTGCATATAATCTTTAATAAACTAGGTTTGAGAATGAGGATTGGTCCTATTGGACCTACTCAAAGTTAAGACAATTATTGTCTTCATTTATTTGGTCAGCTCTTGCCTCTTGACATTAAATATCAGAACTACGAAATCGAAAATTATGGTAGTATACTCAATTTGGTTTTAACACTCATCATGAAATCACATATTCTTGCAACTTTTGTTTTCTTTTGTCCTAACTATAGGACGATTTTGATAAAGTGAGTATTAGTGTATATAGTTATATAAATCTTTGTACACTGGTATTTTGTATAAACCAGTTCTAACCATATAATAGAATTAGAATAGAATTGGTTATTGGCTTTGGTTTAGGCCTCAGGTCTTTGTATATAAACCCACAATTGTATAGTTTACATTAATTAATGAGAATGAGATTCATTTAGTAATATGGTATCAGAGCATTTCGATTCGTAACAAACTCTTCCGCATCTCTTCGAAATCTCACCGGAATCTCACCGGAAACATCTTCTGATCTCACTCTCTTGAGCTTCCTCATCTTCGATTTGCTTCATCGCTCGTTCTCCTGTTCTTATTCAACTCCGATTTCATCGCATTCAGTTGTCTAAGTCTTCCATGGGAAAACGCAATTGCAAGTCGACGTTTCGTACTCTAGCTCCCGATTCACCTGAATCCGGCACTGCGGTGTCACCTCGTGGTCATGGCGAGAAATCTGTTCGTCACTCGTCTCAAATGGCTTCGGGAACGGTGAATCGTGCTTCAGTTCATCCCGATCGTGCTTCAGCTCGCCGATCTCTCTCTTCTCACGATCCTTTCGAGGTATCTGATTCGCCGGATAATATTCATTCTCCCTTTCATTTGCATAGTTCCGATCATCCTGGTTTAGTCTTAGTCTCGGAACCTTTTGATGGCAACAATTACAATGTCTGGTATATTGCTATGGTTACGAGTCTTGAAGCTAAGAATAAACTTGGATTCCTTGATGGTTCTATTGCAAAACCGGATGAATATGATCTGTATTTCAAGATCTGGTGTCGTTGTAACTCTATGGTGAAGTCTTGGTTGTTGAATAGCGTTTCCAGGAAGATCTACTCCAGCATTCTGTATATCAAACATTCTTCTGATATATGGAAAGATCTCCATACTCGCTTTCACAAGTCCAACCTACCTCGCCTGTATAAGCTTCGTCATCAGCTCCATTCTCTTCAACAAGGTAGTTTGGATCTCTCTTCCTACCACACTCAGACTCAGACTCTGTGGGAGGAACTATCCAACATTCAAACTACTCCACATACTATTGAGGATCTCCTTGCAGAAAAGGAAACTAATCGAGTTATTGACTTCTTAATGGGGTTGAATGAGTCCTATGATAACATCAGGAGCCGTATCTTAATGAAGAAGACTCTGCCATCCCTCTCTGAGATTTACAACCTACTTGATCAAGATGATAGCCGGAAAACAGTTAAAGCACCTGTTACTAGTGAGCTTACTTCTGCTGTTTTTCAGGTATCACACAATCAAGGTTCAGGTTCTTCTCATCAGTCTCCTTCAGGTTATCAAAAAGGAAATCGCCCCCAATGTACCTTCTGTGGGAAAGTTGGTCATGTTGTTGACAAATGCTGGAAGAAGCATGGGTATCCAAACAGTGTCAAACCAAATCAGAGATCTGACAAAGCTGTGGTTGCAAATGTTGCTCTTGATGTTAGTTCTACTGAGCATGGAGATACAGTTGGTGAGTTATCTCCTTCTCAGATTCAACAGCTCATGTCCTTCCTCACAAGCAAGCTTCAGCCTCCAAGTTCCACTCCCACACCAGAAGTTCACTCTGTCTCAGTTTCCTCTGCCCTTCCTTCCTCAACTATTGGCCCAATGTCTGGTACTTTTTCTCCCTCTATCATTTGTTCTTTTACCAGCATTGATAGGCCTTATGTCTGTTCTCTTCATGGCAATATCCCTGCCATTTCTGCTTGGGTTATAGATACAGGAGCTACTAACCATATCTCTCATGAAAAATCTTCTTTTCTCTCTTTTAAACAAATTCACAATGTTGTGAATCTTCCAAATGGGATTTCTGTGAGCATTGTTGGGGTAGGTACAATACAACTGGGTAGTAATCTAATTCTTCACGATGTTCTGTACATTCCCCAATTCAAATTCAACCTCTTAAGTGTCAGTTGCTTAACCAAAAGTTTGGGTTGTCGTGTCTGGTTTGATGACAATTCTTGTTCAATACAGGATCGTACTCAGGGATTAATGATTGGAAAGGGGAAACAAGTTGCTAATCTCTATTTCCTGGATATTGAGTCTTTGTCCTGTCCAGGTACTTCTCTTTCTGTTGTTGCTGCCTCAGTTACTAGTCCTGAACTTTGGCATAATCGTTTAGGTCATCCCTCTATGTCTAAACTTCAACCAATGCAATCCATCTTATCCCTAGAAAAGACAAAAATAGATACAAATTATCATTGTAAGGTCTGTCATTTGGCAAAACAGAAACACCTTCCCTTTGTATCTAAGAATAAACTTTGTTCTTTTCCTTTTGAATTGGTTCACATTGACACTTGGGGTCCCTTTTCTGTTCCTACTCATGATGGTTTTAGATATTTCTTAATTATTGTTGATGATTTCTCTAGAGCTACTTGGGTATATCTTCTTAGGAACAAATCTGATGTTTTAACTGTCTTCCCTCAATTTGTTAACATGGTAGAAACTCAGTTTGAAACTAAAATTAAGGGGGTTAGATCTGACAATGCTCCAGAACTCAACTTCACTTCCTTTTATCAATCAAAAGGCATCTTGCCATATCATTCTTGCCCTGAAACTCCACAGCAAAACTCTGTGGTGGAAAGAAAACATCAGCATATTCTCAATGTAGCTAGATCTCTTTTCTTTCAATCTCAAATTCCACTTCCTTATTGGGGTGACTGCATTCTCACTGCAGTTCACCTTATCAATCGCACCCCTGCTCCTATTCTAAAGGACAAAAGTCCATTTGAAGTATTAACAAAGACCATTCCTGATTACTCTCAGCTAAAAGTTTTTGGTTGTCTTTGTTATGCCTCTACTTCACCCAAAAACAGACATAAATTTGACCCTAGAGCTCGTGCCTGTGCTTTCATAGGTTATCCAAATGGATACAAGGGTTATAAACTCCTTGACATTGAATCAAACACCATTGTTCTATCTCGCCATGTGGTGTTTCATGAGGAGCTCCTTCCTTTTGTTGGAACTGATACTTTCCAGGATGCAAATTCATATTTTCCTGATCAGTTTCCTTCACTTCCTGTGATCACACCTGTTTCTGATGCTAATGCTTCTCCATCATCATCTTCTGTAGAGACTCAACCTTCTGTTGATCCTATAAATGTCCCTGAACCTTCTGTTCAAACATCTCACAGGAAGTCCAAACAACCTGCTTATCTTCAAGATTACTACTGTCATTCAGTAGGATCTTCAACCATCCATGAGATTTCTCAGTTTCTTTCCTATGATCAAATCAATCCTCTTTATCTTTCTTTTTTGGTAGCCATTGACAAAGAAAAAGAACCCTCATCCTATGCTGAGGCAAAGGACCTTCTGGTTTGGTGTGGTGCCATGGATGATGAAGTAAATGCTTTGGAAGAAACTGAAACCTGGACCATTTGTACCTTACCTCCCAATAAGACTCCTATTGGTTGCAAATGGGTTTTCAAGGTCAAATTTAACTCTGATGGTACTGTTGAAAGGTATAAAGCAAGACTAGTTGCTAAAGGTTACACACAAAAGGCTGGTATTGATTACAATGAAACCTTTTCACCAGTTGTGAAACTCACCTCTGTAAAGCTTGTTCTTGCTTTATCCGCTATTCATGGTTTCTCTCTTACACAGCTAGATATCTCTAATGCATTTCTCAATGGAGATCTTGATGAAGAGATCTACATGCGACTTCCTCCTGGTTATGCTGACAGGGATGGAGTTAGTTTGCCACCAAATGCAGTGTGTAAGTTAGAGAAATCTCTCTATGGCCTCAAACAGGCTTCTCGGCAATGGTTTCTGAAATTTTCATCAACATTGATATCTTTGGGATTTAAGCAGTCAAATGCTGATCACACTTGTTTTCTCAAGATTACTGACACTCTCTTTCTCTGTGTGTTAGTCTATGTTGATGATATAATCATCTCTAGTAATAATAATTCAGAGGTTGATCTTCTCAAGTCTCAACTCCATTCCTTCTTCAAGCTGCGAGATCTAGGGCCTCTGAAATATTTCCTTGGCTTGGAAATTGCAAGATCTTCAGAGGGTATTCATATTTGTCAACGTAAATATGCTCTTGATCTTCTTGATGAAACAGGGCTACTTGGTTGCAAACCTTCCAACATTCCCATGGATCCGCATGTTACTTTTGCTAAGGATAAAGGAGGTGACTTAGTTGATGCTGAATCATATCGTCGTCTCATTGGGCGCTTGATGTACCTGCAAATCACAAGGCCTGACATCACCTTTGCTGTCAACAAGTTAAGCCAGTACTCACAGGCTCCTCGTGAAGCACATCAACAAGCAGCCTACAAGATTCTTCACTATATCAAAGGAACCATTGGCCAAGGTCTTTTCTATTCTTCCAAATCAGAACTTCAATTACAAATGTTTGCAGATGCTTCTTACTCTTCTTGCAAAGACACTAGGCGATCCACTTCTGGTTTCTGTTTGTTTCTTGGTACTTCTCTCATTTCCTGGAAATCTAAGAAGCAGCAGGTCGTCTCCAAAAGCTCTGCAGAAGCTGAGTACAGAAGTCTCTCCAAGTCTACTGATGAGCTGGTTTGGATCACTAATTTCTTTAAGGAACTGCAGATTCCTCTCTCAAAGCCTACTCTACTCTTCTGTGATAGTACTGCAGCGATTCACATTGCCAACAACTCTGTCTTTCACGAAAGGACAAAACACATTGAAAATGACTGTCACAGCATCCGTGAAAGGTTAGTTGCAGGTTTGTTTCAGTTAATACATGTTGATACTACTTTGCAGCTTGCTGATCCCTTTACCAAGGCTCTTTATCCTGCACCATTCCATGAGCATTTTGGCAAGATGGGTCTTCGAAATATCTTCGTCCCATCTTGAGGGGGCATATTAGTGTATATAGTTATATAAATCTTTGTACACTGGTATTTTGTATAAACCAGTTCTAACCATAGAATAGAATTAGAATAGAATTGGTTATTGGCTTTGGTTTAGGCCTCAGGTCTTTGTATATAAACCCACAATTGTATATTTTACATTAATTAATGAGAATGAGATTCATTTAGTAATAGTGAGAAAGCTCGTTTAGCTCGGCTTCTACTTGTTTCAGGCTACCGCTGAAAGTATTTCTACTTCTTTTTGTTTCTTCATCTATAGCTTAGTTAGCTTAATTCTTTTAGCGACTTACCATCATTATTGGTGAGCTCTCTTAACAAATTTTAGTTCTAATATTTGTTAAGGAGTCTTTAGAGTGAGTTTGCTTTATCTTCTTACCAATAGTCTCATTGTTCAAGGTTAGCTAGTCGATCAAATAAATCTCAAATGTTTTATGTTTCCATGTATTTTAAAAGTTTGTTCTGATATGGGACCATGTTCTTAGGTTGAACTTCACGTAAAAGTACTTAAACTTCTATTTCTTAAATGATACTTAGCTATTTCTTAAATGATACTTACTCCATTAGAATTAATTAGGAGTATTAAAGATCAATGCGAGAGAAAGCCATGAGGAGCCACCGACGGTGAAATGACAAATGCATGAAAATAGAGTAAAGAGTACTACGGTGGGAACGAACGCTACAATTTATTGCCCCTAATAAAATCATGTTGACTATATATTTTGCATACTCAGACTTTGCTTTTACATATTTATTTCTTATGACAAATATAATACAGTTTCTGCTTGAGATTTTATTTGTTTTCACAATAAATGTTACTTTAATAGTCACAAAATATGTTAATAAGTAACTTATCATGATTTTTTTTTTTTTTTTGTATATAAATTAAACCCCAATATCTTATACTGTTACATATACACTAGACCGAATGAAAATATATTTTAACTTTCAAAAAACTAATATTACTGGTCGCAGAACATAACAGTCTTGCCAACCACTTACAATACTATTAACACCGGAAATACGAACTATTTCCCCCTAAAAAATATCGTATCAAAGTTAGACAGAACCTAAACTTTTATTTTCGAGCTATATATCTCCGAAATAAAAGTGCGAAATGTACATCTCCACCAACAAAAAAGTTTTATTTACGTCAAATTTTCCAAACTTAATTTACTCAAAACTCCATAAATTCTCATACACAAAAAAGTTATATTAAAATTGAAGTGCATGAAGATAAGATTTTAGATACACGTTCATTTAACTCCAAGCCAACCACCATGCTCATTTTTTGGGACCCGATCAGTAATGAAGCAATTTTAAAACTTGTGACTGTCCTAGTGTCCATGTCTCGTTAAAATATTTCTTTTTTGCTTATATATTTACACATCTTCTTCATTATGTTATTTCTCAAGTGATTTGTATCTTTCTAGCTCCAATGGCTTGGCGATTAAATCTCTTATCTTTGTTCCTCCTTCTCTCGGCTGCTCTCTCATCTTACCTCGTGATCTCAACTTCTTCTCTCGTTGAAGGAAAAGTCTCTTGTTTCGACTGTCCCAATGATTATGATTATTCAGGTATAATCTTTTGACTAGACAATGTGATAGTTATAACACATCATATATCTACTCAAACACTTGTGACAAGACTTTATAATCTTTTTTTTTTTTAGGAATCACGGTCGGTGTTAGTTGTAGCGACAGCAAAACTCGTTTTACAGTCACAACTGACAAGAAAGGGGAGTTCATGTCCGAACTTCCCTCGAGTGTTAAATCAAACTGTGAAGCCGAACTCAAAGGCAGCTTCAAGCAACTCTATGCTTCCAAAAATAATGTTAAGTCTAAGATTGTTAACCTTGGTGGTGACAAATATGGTCTCTCTTCAAAGTTGATCTTCTTGAAGTCATGTCCAAGAAGCCTCGGACCTTTTAGTTCATCCAAGACCGTAGATTTCCCTGTTCCTCCTGAGTGGGGGCTGGCTCCTACTAGTTACTATGTTCCTTTCATCCCCATCATCGGTATCCCATAAGACGATCCGTTTTTAATATTTGTATTGCGTCGTCTATGTATTATATATATATTGTATAATATATGTTTAGAGACATGTAACTATATAAGCTGTTCTTTTCAAGTCCATGCTTGAACTGATGTTTATGTGTTATGTTAGTGTCTTAAGATGGTTTATGTTGTCCTTTTATGAAGCATAATTAATATGAAATCTTTTAGGCTTTGTGTTTACTTTTAACATTAAGCAGGAAGTTACTAGTAAGGCCATAATTATCGGTATATCTTCGAGGGGATTATGGCATTATTTAAAGTCCAAAAAATGAAAACAGTAGAATTGTAAGATGCATCCGCTTGTTGGGTAAGAAGCTTTTGGACTCGAGTCTTATCCCACGTGGCGCAACCTGATAAATTAAAAAATTGAGTTAACAAAACAATTATTATTTTCTGTTTTGTCAAACGAAACAAAATACCCAAATCGACTCATTTTCCTCCGATCCAACTTTTCTCCGATCGCTGCTGGATCTTGAAGATCTCTAGATTTTCTCATCTCTCTCTCTTGCTTTTTGCGTTTCGTCTGGGTTTTGGGAGGTTCGGCTCGATGAACCAGATGGTTATGGTTAAGGCGACGTCGGAAGGAGGGATATCGGACCAGGTGGAAAAGAGCTACCATAAAACATCTTCCTTTACTTGTTCACTTTGTTGCTAAAGGGATTATGTAAAGAGAAATGACCAGATTAATGTAATCTTATTACCATACAATTTATCAAAATTCTACATTACAAAACAAGCTCCAGAATAGTTAAAAATTCTACATTAATGTAATTTTATTACCATACAATATATGGACTAAATTTGGACATCTTCTCATATGATTAAAAAGGTTTGTAAACTTTTTATTCATTTAATAAAATGTTTTGTACTTTAATTTATATGTTTGTATATTTTAAGTGTCTCATTTTAATTTATATGTTTGTATGTTTTTAATTTTCAAATTATTTAAATTAATAAATATATTATTATTATATTATTATAAATTTAAGAACCTACGGGTTCAACCAATAACACAACAATTTTGCTTGGTTCTTAAAACACACTATTACATTATTTATATACTATAATTACCCTAAGATGATACCAAATTACCATTGAGTTAAAGAGATTAATGATTTTTTTCAATTCTTAAATTAATTTTCTATATCATAGCAGTTATAATTTATAACTTATAAAGTATCACACAGCCAAAATTATTATCATGAAATTTAAGTTTTTCCTCTTATAAAAAGGTATACGATAGTTTAATACTTGTGGTTATTAACACAGAATTTAATTTCGTTGTCAATATTTTAGAAAATGCAAACATAGATAACACTTTAACTCAAAGTATGACATACAATTTAAAGGTATCACGAACGAACTCGATTGTAACATATATATGAACAACCAATTAGAAAACTTTATTTATTATACTGCATAATATGCAGCACCATATGTAGCTTTAACATACATTTCTCTTGGCGATCCTCGAGGAATTATATGTATGGTAACTCGATTCCCTAATTGGTTGCGTCTATAGGATGTAATAGATATGCGTAAGGAGGAGGAGTGCCGTATCCACCTCGTGGAGGTGATGGAGTAGTTGGTGTTGGAGGTATTGGTGGTGGTTTTATCGGAGGACTATAAGTTGGTGTTGGTGGCACTTGTATTGGTGGTGGTTTTATAGGAGGACTATAAGTTGGTGGCAATGGCACTGGTGGTGGTTTTACAGGAGGGCTATAGGTTGGTGTTGGAGGTTTTTGCACTGGTGGTGGTTTTATCGGGGGAGGCTTTTGAGCTGGAGGTGGTTTGACAGGTGGACTGTAAGTTGGTGTCGGAGGCTCTTGCACTGGTGGTGGCTTAATAGGGGGCGGCTTTTGAATTGGAGGTGGCTTAATCGGAGGACTATAAGTTGGTGTTGGAGGCTTCTGCACTGGTGGTGGCTTAATAGGGGGAGGTTTTTGAATTGGGGGTGGTTTTATTGGTGGACTGTAAGTTGGTGTTGGAGGCTTCTGCACTGGTGGTGGTTTAACAGGTGGACTATATGTTGGTGTTGGAGGCTTCTGCATCGGTGGTGGCTTTATAGGCGGAGGCTTTTGAACTGGGGGTGGCTTGATAGGTGGACTGTACGTTGGTGTAGGAGGCCTATGGACTGGTGGTGGCTTTATAGGGGGAGGCTTTTGAACTGGGGGTGGCTTGACAGGTGGACTGTAAGTTGGTGTTGGAGGCTTATGTACTGGTGGTGGCTTTTGAACTGGGGGTGGCTTGACAGGTGGACTGTAAGTTGGTGTTGGAGGCTTATGTACCGGTGGTGGCTTTATAGGTGGAGGCTTTTGCACTGGGGGTGGCTTGACAGGTGGACTGTAAGTTGGTGTCGGAGGCTTCTGTATTGGTGGTGGCTTAATAGGGGGAGGCTTTTGAATTGGGGGTGGCTTAACAGGTGGACTGTAAGTTGGTGTCGGAGGTTTCTGCACTGGTGGTGGCTTAATAGGAGGAGGCTTTTGAATAGGGGGTGGCTTGACAGGTGGACTGTAAGTTGGTGTTGGAGGTTTATGCACTGGTGGTGGCTTTATTGGAGGACTGTAAATTGGTGTTGGAGGCTTGTGTACCGGTGGTGGCTTGATCGGAGGACTGTAAGTAGGTGTTGGAGGTTTATGCACGGGTGGTGGTTTGATCGGAGGACTGTAAGTTGGTGTTGGAGGTTTATGTACGGGTGGTGGTTTGATCGGAGGACTGTAAGTTGGTGTTGGAGGCTTGTGTACGGGTGGCGGTTTGACTGGAGGACTGTAAATTGGTGTGGGAGGCTTCTGTATTGGTGGTGGATGTATCGGAGGACTGTAACTTGGTGTTGGTGGTGTTGGGTAGCTAGGTGGAGCACCATAACCATAACTTGTAGTCTCATATCTATTAAAGTGTTGCTTCACCGTCGCATTTGCAGAAACTAAAGCACCACTAATAGAAAGAATGACTACTAAGAATCTCAAGAAATCTATTAGTGGGACTCTCATCTTGGAAGTGGCTTACTAAGAACTAAAGATACACACCCGTTTCGAAGCTTATATAATACTTGAAAAGTTGTGACTTGTAAGAGTAGCTTTGCTCATACGACGAGACTACTTGTGAATGTTTGTTTCTACAGAATTTGCGGTATAGGTTCTAAAGACTCTTTACCTTCATCAGCTTTTGCGGCATGGGCGTTCTGGTTCGTGTCAAGAGACCCTTGAATTGATATGTCCATCTTCTGCTCATCTTTCAAACCCGTGTAGCATATCTTTTCTAATCGCCGGACATTTGTCTAGTGATTTGCCTTAAAAGCGTTTCTGATTATGTAATTACTTTGTCTTGTTATATTGATTTGTCTTAATGGCAGCTTTTAGTTATTGTTTTGTAGTATGGAGAAGAGTGGAACTAGCTGGATCCTTGGTTGCTTGTACTTCACTCTTAGGTATATATGAGCCATTTATGAAAACGCCTACTTTTTTAAATTTGATGACTTCATTTTAACTTATAATTATTTTATTTCTTTAAAACCCTGTAATTAAATACGTAATTAGTTTAAATTAAGTTTCTATTCGTTCACAATTTAAACTTAATTTAATAACCTCGCCATAGATATATGAGAAAAATCATGCATATAATGTCAAGAACATATATTACAAAGCTCAATGTATTAATGTCAAGAACATATATTAAAAATCATGCATATAATGTCAAGAACATATATTAAAAATTGTTTTTATATAATTATTTTTGCCGACTGAAGGAATCAAGGAACAAAAAAAAAACTTAAAGTCCATAATTTTTGCAGAGAAACCTGTAACAGTTCAAATAATTTGTTCTATGTACAATGAAACCTTTGATTTGATCAGTTTTATCCATAAGCTCGCTTTTTTTGCCACACACCCATCAGAACTGTGTCGTCGTCATCTGCATGTTGCAAAGTCACTCCAAGTGTTGTTCCATTTTCGTATAGAGATTATCAAAAACGTTTTTGGAAGTGAGCGTTACGTTTCCATCTCAAAATAAAGGTTATATAATTTGGTAATGGATTTTATTTGGCATGTACAACTTATATAATGTATATGTATCTTTGTTTTGATTGAAGGCTATGTATAACTTCTTTACGATTTGATTTTACAACAATGTTTAGAGATTTTTTTTCTATGTTATGGCATTTTACTTCTATATCATGGTTGTAGCCTTGTAGGTGTACCCGTGTACACAGAAAATGAAATCTTACTTAACTTCGTTTATAAAAATATTCATATGCATTTTAGAAATACTTTATCTTATAATAATCAGAAAGCTTAAAACTCATTATGCATGCAATTCAGTGATAAGAATGGATTCTATTGTAGACTACAATTCGGAATGGACTATACACTCTACGTAAACCAGGCTACCAAGATCATGGATGATGGGCTCATTCTCTGGTTTTGTGAGATTCCAATGCCAATGAAACCAACAAGCTTCCTTGTTGATGGGCCGAATTAAGCATTTTGAGGTTAGTACTACTGGATCTTTTTGTGGGTCAAATTAAGTTTCCAACACCAACAACATGAGTTCCAAGAAAAGAAGATGTTGAGCTAGTTGATCACAAATTCATGGTAATAAACTAATACAGTAATATAGATGGATTTAACCAAATGTTAATAGCTCAATTAGTAAAGATCTCTGACAAAAGTTTAGAGGTCGCCGGTTCGAGTATCGTTTGGGACGAGACCATATAACATGCTTTAGTCTTGGACCTGAGAGGGTGTATGAACTTCGGCCTAAAACCTCTTTAATTATTCAAAAAATATATATATATATATATATATATATATATATATATAGATAAATTTGGCTGTTGTTATTTACCTGTTTTTATTATGGTGAATGATACTATGGAGTTCACAATTAAGTCTATGACCCCTGAACTCTGGAAATTTCATTGACTATACTATACTCTCCATCATGAGCACGACAACAACAAAATATGATGGAGTAAGAGAGATGGAAATCTTATGAAGCATAATTGCCGATTTCTCAATCTTTTCTGGCTCTATCAAACCTCTAGTTTGTAAAATTTTGAAAATGTTTTTGACATTGCCATCTTTTTAGCATTTGCGAGTGAAAATTTTCCAAATCGGGCAAAATTTTTAGATTTAATTATGTATGAAAACTAACCTAAATTTTGATTTTTAGTCAATTATACCATCGAGTTATTAGTATATTAAAAAATAGTATATTTTATGTAAATATTTTAAATATATTATATGAAATGTGCGAGAACGATACTATATTACTAAGAAAAATCAATTAAACATTCTACAACACGTCATCACCTAACCTAAGCTAAAGCAAAGTTTGTAAACAATTCAACGTGACCTAATCCTACATAAAAAGTCTAATGTTCCATTCATAGTGGTCAAAAAGTATTCGTTTTATATCTATTGCATATTGAACTAGTTTGGTTATAACTAAAAGGGACATGGTTGTTGACATTGAGACACTTTGTACTTAGGAAGAGACTTAAACTAAAATAAACTAAATAATAGTCAATCCTGCTTTACGTTAAAATGGAGCAAGTCGCCTTCTATATTTTGCTAACCAGCGAGTAGCAAAATCAAATAAAAAGAATACATACAAAACCAAACCCAATCCATCCACTACACCAACTCAATTACAAGTATGCATATATATCTTACATGACTTCATCATCATAACCATCACCATCTCTAGCTCCTCCTTTGAACTTTTTCCAAGTTAAACTTCCAAAAGAGATAATCTTAATTTCTAACTCTTCCTCTTCTTCTAAACAGTCTACTATGGATATCGAAAAGGCAGGGAGCAGAAGAGAAGAAGAAGAACCTATTGTGCAAAGGCCAAAGCTAGACAAAGGCAAAGGCAAAGCTCATGTGTTTGCTCCTCCTATGAACTATAGTAGGATCATGGAGAAACACAAACAAGAAAAGGTTGGCACATCAGGGTGGAGAAGAGGTGTAGCGATATTCGACTTTGTTCTTAGACTCATCGCAGCCATAACTGCCATGGCTGCTGCAGCAAAGATGGCAACAACAGAAGAGACTCTTCCTTTCTTCACTCAGTTCTTGCAGTTCCAAGCTGATTACACTGATCTACCAACTATGTCGTAAGTCAGCTCTCCATAATGGTACTCTTCACTATAGATTATTCCAAAAATGTATCAAAATGAAAACGAAATAATGTAAGCTTTTGAAGAGTCAAGCTAGTACCTAAGATGTTCTTGACCTATTTATAAGGCTGCCAAACATTTTTTTGGTGCTTATTAATAGATTATGGTACATAATTCTTGATTATATAAAGATTCACACTTCATAATTTTTCTGTTTTGTTTTGCAGATCTTTTGTGATAGTAAACTCAATCGTCGGCGGCTACCTAACTCTCTCATTGCCTTTTTCAATTGTATGCATCCTCCGCCCACTCGCCGTGCCGCCTAGGCTCTTCTTGATCTTATGTGACACGGTAATTAATCAATTCTTTTTCCAGATAATTATAATAATAAAACATCTTAGTAAGATATGAACACAAATGCCAAGCATACAAACCTCTAAAGGTTGCCAAGCATACAAACCTCTAAAGGTATCAAGAATGATCAATAACGAACTTAATTTTTGATTACAAACTACAATGAATATGTATGTCTAGTACACATATGAAATATCTCTTAGTTAATCAGTACGGTTGTTATGGTCCAGGCAATGATGGGTCTCACTATGATCGCGGCATCAGCTTCTGCCGCGATAGTATATTTGGCGCACAACGGAAATTCGAGCTCGAACTGGCTTCCGGTTTGCCAGCAGTTCGGTGACTTTTGCCAAGGAACGAGTGGCGCCGTGGTGGCCTCCTTTATCGCGGCGACTCTACTCATGTTCCTAGTCATCCTTTCTGCATTTGCTCTCAAAAGATCAACCTGAAAATTCGGATTGATCCACTAGATTTATTTTCATTGTGCTCTGATGATATTCATTTTGTGTGAATTTGAAATGGTTACTATGTATGATTTGGTTTTGTTGTGAATTGTGTAACTCAAGGTTGTATTGTGGAAAATTGTTGTATATCAATCTTATATTTTCACACATTGTTATTCTTTTCTTATAGACGCCTAACTACAATTATGAAGAAGGTATCTTCTATCCTTCTAAATCAAACTTATCTAAAGATGTGTGTCACAATGATTTATCTACTACCACTTGACCACTTCATCCCAACCAACAACATAATATTATAAAATTTAACGCATTATCCAATACATGCATTTAAAAAACATAGACTATATGTTTTACTCACTATAATTAAAACATTATCTTTCTTGTCTCCGAAAGTTTTGTCATATGTCAATCAAAGAAAATTGTGTCTAATGACTCCTTATTCTTAATCTCAGAGCTGAGGCATGACCAATCGAAAGAAGGAATAGCATATGGTCCTTTGAGTATGCCCTCTGATATCCATTTGTATGCAGCCTCAGTCATATGAATACCATCCCAATTCACATACTTCGAAGGATCACTACAATACTCAACTCCTTTACTCCCACATTTTACACTAAATGTGAAGTTGTATGGTCCTCCTAAACCGCAACAAGCGGGCAAGGGTCTCTCCATAAGCCCTGGTAGTAGTATAACTAACTCGGTTAGTAAATCAATGACTAAGCCGCTAACATTCGAATAGAAGGATCAAAAAGACTAACCGAATTCGGATGGTTCTTGCATAAGGCGCAATAGAGTGTTGTAGTAGTCACCATATATAATGTTAACATGAGGGTAAAGCTTCCTTAGTCTAATGAGCTCATCTTGAAGCTGCTCATTGTGGTATTCTGAAAACTTGTTCAGCCATGTCAAACATCCTGTTAGAGGATTGTATTCTTCTTTGTTTGATGTTTGATATGTTGTCAAATAGGCTACAGAGCATCCAAGTGGGAAATTTCCAGGAACTAGGAATGTTCTTGCTCCCATATTGACTAACTCCTGGATTCAACATTTAGTCACAAAGCAACAACCACATTACAGTTTCTAATACAAATATAGTGAACAAAATGTTTACCGAGATTGCTGAAGAAATAGTAGTGATCACAAGAGGAACTAGCTCTTCGACTTCCTTAATGGCCTTGCGTTCGAATAATGGATAGTTATAATCATTTCCACCAATCTCTCCCATGAGAATCAAAGCATTTCCAATCATATTTTCACAATCTAGAAACCAAACCATTACAAGTTAGCTCTATATATATATTATGACCACAAAAGGCTTGGTCTTTCACTACCTGATGAGGAGCCACATAGATTTGGTAAAACTTCTTTGAAGCTCTTAATCTGAGTTCCTAAACTGATGTTGCTTTGAGAACAATGGATTCCTTTCTCCTCAAGAATTGAACATTCTAGTGCTGTTGCTCCTCCCACAGCAAAATTAACTCCTTTCTCAAAGTTTCCATTTTCAGATCCATAAAATGGTGGCACATGTGGTATCCCTAAGAATTCAGCTGTGACACAGAAGAAGCCAAGAATAAAATGTTTTTGTATATCTATTTATATATTTTTTGCTTTTAAACCAACATATTTATTTTGTATGAACAGATTGCACTAAAAATCTATATAAATGAGAGGAAAAACAAACAAGAAACCACAAGAACCAAACTTATAGACAAATCTTTCAATTGGTTTCTTCTCACATAGATATTAGATACAATTTATTAGTATTAAGAGACTCTCAAAGATTAATCAAAACATAACTAAACTCAAAACGTTCTTAAACGTTTGAAATTACCAATGAAGTCGATGATAAGGCGGCCATCGGAGAAACGACCAGAAGGATGGTGGAAGAAGGTTTCTCCATATGGTGGAAACGCAGATTCAGGTAGATCATTAGGCTTAGAGAGACCAAGCAAGTTTCCTGTATCGGTAATGGAATCGCCAAAACTGATGATAGACTTGAAATTTCTGCATTGAGTTTGTGAGCTCACAATGACTAAGAGAGTAGAAAAAATGAAGCTTAATAACATATGAGAAGCTTGGAACGCCATGGTTAGAGCTCAAAGTTGGATTTTTCTATCTTTCTATCTTTTTTTCTATATATTATTCTTAAAATCTTTTTGTTTTGGGAAAGACAAAGTTATATAGAGACAAGTGTTATAACAATTTGTCGTAGAGACTAAAGAAAACAAACAAGTCGTGTGACAATTGGCAGACATGGGCCGATGAGTCATATACCTCAGTGAGCCTTAAATAAAAGGTGGCAGAAGGTTACTTTGTAGTTGGTATGGTACAGTTTACACTGTTTGTTTATTTGTTTTAGTTGTCGGGTACGTAGATGATTGAGCACCTTCTATAATTATTATGTACAATCTAAAATATATGTTTAAAAAAAAAAAAATTTAAACAAATTCATTAATACCTTAACGAGTTTACAAGATGATTACACAAGATCATAACTATTAATTGGGAAGGACAACTTGAAGCCAAACACCCCCAATTTTAAAAAAAATTTCATGAAAATAAAACCAGTTGCCAAACAGAATTAATGACAGAAAAAAAAACAAAAACAAAAACAAAAACAATCTATATTTATGGAAATCATAATAATCTTTTACCATAAAAAGTGGATAATTAAATTTAAAACTAAATATATGTAAACAAATATATTTTGAATATACATAAACATATTTATTATTAATTTAATATTTTAATATAATTTCGAAATTAATAATTTATATAGAATGAAATCTAATAAAACAAAATCATCATATATCTAAAATAACAAAGATAACATTTTTTTAGAAAAATAAAAAGATAAAAAAATATGTTAGCATATGAAATAATCAACTAATCAAATTCTACATAGTATATATACATAACTGATCATATCATAAAATTTTAAAAATTTATATAATTTTAAAATATAAATAAAATTTAAATAAATCAATAATTAAATATTTGTTTGCTAAAATCATGCGAATAAACATTCTAGATCACATAAATTTCTTATTTTCACATAAAAATATTCAATCTAGCAATTATAGCAAAAATGATATCTACAAAATTTATCATTAATTCAATTAGTTAATGATTTTTATTTGGTCAAACCGTTAGTTAATGATTATTTTAAACTTCTTTTTTTTCTTATTAATTTCACACAATTTTAACAAAATAAATCTTCATCCATTGACAATTTGCATATAATTACTATTATCAAATATTACATAATTGTTTTATCAAATCATAAACTACATTTCGAGATTATAAACATATAGAATTTCTATTAAGATTAAAACAAAATAACAAGTGGATATATCACATTTAAATGATTTTAACGACTTATTACCAATTCCAAATAATAAATGGATTATATTTTTAATGATTTAATCTAATTGAAAACAAATAAAATGTCAAATTGGTATGATATAAATGATATAATAAATAAATATCTACAAACATTATCTCACATATACGTACAATTTTAAACTATCCTTGACAAATATGATATATAAGTTTTGGATAACCGGTTGAAAAAAAAAATGGTAGTTATATTTAATTCTTAAAATCTCAAAATATTGAACAAAATTCAATTTTGGGACGTATAAATCTCTACTTTTGGACGATTATA